TTTCCTCACAAACACAGGCAGAAGAATCAAAGACCTTAACGGAATATAATGGCTCCTCGAATCTTGAGTTGATTTTAAACTGCATGCCTCCATCCAAGCCCATTTCCTTTCAGTGTGACAATAGCTTAAATGATGAAATTCTTCAGTCTAGATTTTACGTTTTTTTCCTATGAGCTATATCACCTAGTTTAGCAAATTCTAAACAAAGAAATGTCAGTGAGCTAGAGTGATAAAGTGATATATAAAGTGTTAGTGAGCTACAGTGACAAATTTAAAGCTTAAAACTATTGGACATATTGGACAGTGCAGATACTGAACATGTCTGTCATCACAGAAAGATCTATTAATGCTATTCTAGAGTCTCTAAGACAGAAAACTATTCATGGGAAATCACGTATAACTGAAACAATAGCTTCTCCCAAGCCACTTGGATACTTGGTTGATTTCCAAAAAAAAAAAAAAAAAAAAAAAAAAATCCACTGGATTGTCTAAAGCCTGTTATTTATATTTTAAAGCAGTCATATTCTAGGATATAACACAGACATGAACTCATTCATGTGAAGTCAGATAGCAATAGTGTTCAGGATTAAAACTATCCATGGGCTACCCTTGTGGGGTCCTTTCGGTAGAAGGGTAAATATGAGCTTCAACGGGTGGTGGGGGTGGTAAAATGAAACAAGAGACTCTTTTGACTTCACCCACATTATGCTGCTAACAAGTCTCTCCTAGTAATGGCTCTCACCTGGCTAATGCTCTGTTGTTAAAATTCCCATTAGAGCTGGGCTGTGCTGAGTTAGCATTTGCACATACCAGACAGGATGTTAACATGAAGTTGGCAGATGATCTAGTCTCACTCCTACATTAAAGGCTTAGGAGGTTTTGAAAATGTACAAGTCAAGGTGGGTTTTGGATGATTCACTCTGTTCAACACCACCTGGGAAGAAACCAAGGCCATCCATGAGAACTATCAGATCTGAGACAATACGGGAAATACCTCACCTGGCTGTTCACGCTTACAGAATTTACGATTTGTTGCAAAAACACAGGGGTAAGAGCAAGATAAATAGTTTTGAATAATCAAATAAATAAACTAGTGAAGCTTTTTTTTTTTGGTTTGTTTTTAGAGAAAGAGAGGGAGCATGCATGTGTGCATGCAGGTGATGGGGAGGAGGAAGGGACAGAAGGGGAGATTTAAAAAAAAAATTATTTATTTGACAGAGAGACAGGTCCCAAGTAGGCAAAGAGAGGGGGAAGCAGGCTCCCTGCTGAGCAGAGAGCCCGATTTGGGGCTTGATCCCAGGACCCTGATATCATGACCTGAGCCGAAGGCAGAGGCTTAACCCACTGAGCCACTCAGGCGCCCTGGAGAGAGAGAATCTTAATCAAGCTCCACACCCAGTACGGAGCCTGGGGTTCCATCTCACAACCCTGAGATCCTCACCTGAGCTACCCAGGGACCCCAGAAAACTAATGAAACTCTTAACTGCTTCTCTACCTACTGGAATCTGAACTTCCTTCATTAAAATGAAATATTAGTAGAGAGGGAAAAAGGCATTTGGAAGGGACAGAATTTTAAAAAGGCTACTATTTGATAACAAAATGAATTCTTCCCATTCACTGATGTTCTACAGGGGAAAATGAAAAAGGTAATGAAAGGCAATTTGGGCATCTACTATATACTGTGTACCATACCAGCCTCTTCACATACTTTATTTCATGGATTCCTCACAACCAGAGAGATCATTATTTGTATCTCCATCTTACAAATGAAGAAATCTAGGCCAAAGGGTCAGACTACTTTCTGAAATTCACATAGCTATTAAGAAACGGAATTGGATGGGACACCTGGGTGGCTCAGAAGGGTTGGGCCTCTGCCTTCGGCTTAGGTCATGATCTCGGGGTCCTGGGATCGAGTCCTGCATCAGGCTCTCTGCTCGGTGGGGAGCCTGCTTCCCTCCATCCTGCCTGCCTCTCTGCCTGCTTGTGGTCTCTGTCAAATAAACAAATAAAATCTAAAAAAAAGAAAGAAAGAAAGAAAGAAAGAAACAGAATTGGGGCGCCTGGGTGGTTCAGTTGGTTAACCATCCAACTCTTGGTTTTCACTCAGGTCATTAACTCAGGGGTCCTGAGATAGAGCCCTGTGACTGACAGGCTCTCCACTCAGCAGGATGTCTGCTCAGGGATTCTCTCCCTCTGCCCCTCCCCACAACCCTCACTTGTGGGCACTCTCTCCCCCTCTCAAAAATAAAGTTAAAAAAAAAAAAAAAAGAAAGGAAGGAAGGAGGGAAGGAAGGAAGGAAGAAAAAAGGAAACAATGTACTTAGGCAGGACAGACACTGATATTTTTGTCAAATTTCTCGAAATGTGGTCCTTAAATTGTTACTGGTCTGCAAAGACATTAGTTAGAAGGGTGAATAAGGGACTGGAAACTTTTATGTCACCTTGACATGGCCATGACATTTCTATTACAAAAGTTCTGATCCAGCATGGATTGGAAATTTTAAAATCCAGTGCCTCACATTATAAGAAACACTACACTAGCGTACAGGCACTATGAGGACTGGGACTGCTGTTTATCGTGGCATCTTCAACACGTGTTCCATGCAAGATTTGCTGAACTACCGCACTCAAGTTCCAATTCGATTTTTTCTGGCTCCATAGTATTGTTGGCCTCCGTGACCTTACCAAGTGAACGCTTAAAATTTCCTTAGAGAGGTCCTATTTCTGTTTAAACATGTTGATCAGAAAATATGTCAAATAAGTACAATTTGTTTGTCCTACAGACAGGTTGAGCTTTCCAGAGAAAGGGAGTTCAGCTTTTTTCTTTTTACTCTACAATTATTTAAACAATAGAGAGGTTCAGTTAAAAAATGGAATTTATTCAGTTCAAACCAGAGTTTATTTTGTAAAGTTATTTATTCATCATGTTGTTATATATTTGAAATGACAATATACTTCAAACTCAACAAATCTGTTTGGGTGATCAAATATCATGCTATAATTTTTAAAAATGAATTACATTTTGAACTAAAAAAAGTAAAAAAAAAACCATAACGTAACAGAATTTGAGGGTTGTAGCTAAAGCAGTAGGATATGATCTCTCTTGGGTAAGTTCTATATAGTCTTATAAAAAGAATTTTACAGGGGCAACTGGGTGGCTCAGCGGGTTAAAGCCTCTGCCTTCATTTCAGGTCATGATCCCAGAGTCCTGGGATCGAGCCCCACATCAGGCTTTCTGCTCCGCAGGGAGTCTGCTTCCTCCTTTCTCTCTGCCTACTTGTGATCTCTGTCAAATAAATAAATAAAATCTTAAAAAAAATAAAATTTTTTTTAAATTAAAAAAAAATTTACTGGGTTTTTTTTTTGATGGAGGGTTGTATAAATGCCAATTGGATTTTAGTTGGTTAATGGTATTATTCAGTTCTTGTATATCCTTGCTGATTTTATGTCTATTAGTTTTTTACTTACTAAAAAAAAGTTTTGGAATCTCAAAAAAAAAAAAAAGAATTACAAAGAGAACTAAGCAATACAGTCAAGAGTTACATAAGAAACTATTCACAGGATAGTAATTTCTCAAAACAAATTAGTAATGTTAAGAATTGTTTTAGAGAGGCGCCTGGGTGGCTCAGTGGGTTAAAGCCTCTGCCTTCGGCTCAGGTCATGATCCCAGCGTCCTGGGATCGAGTCCCACATTGGACTCTCTGCTCAGCAGGGAGCCTGCTTCCTCCTCTCTCTCTCTCTGCCTGCTTCTTTGCCTACTTGTGATCTCTGTCAAATAAATAAATAAAATCTTAAAAAAAAAAAAAAAAGAAAGAATTGTTTTAGAAAAGATTTCCAGGGGCACCTGGGTGGCTCAGTGGGTTAAGCCTCTGCCTTCGGCTCAGGTCGTGATCTCAGGGTCCTGGGATTGAGCCCTGTATCCGGGGGCCCTCTGCACAGCAGGGAGCCTGCTTCCTCCTCTCTCAATGCCTGCCTCTCTGCCTACTTGTGATCTCTCTCTCTGTGTTGAATAAATAAATAAAATCTTAAAAAAAAAAAGAAAGAAAGAAAGAAAGAAAAGGTTTCCAAAACTAGAGATTTTTCATGTAGGAAATAGAGTTCCAGGTTTCTGTTGCACCACGTATAGAGCACAGAGAATCATTTAGTGAATGTGACTCACCCTTAAATGTACCCTACTTTTTAAGTTCACATGTATCTTTTAAAAGGAAAACTGAAAATGATACTCTTAGAGATATTAATGGGTGTGAACCTACCATTTCTCAGTAATTAAGTTTAAGATGATGTTAATAATTATACCATCCAAGTAAATTTTCACTTCAATTTCTTTCTTCATTGTTTCCTCCACCTTACCCTTCTTTTGTTAAATTTTAATAACTTGCCAAAATATAACTGGAATAAAGTAGGATTAAAAGTACTTTCACTTCCAATGCATAACAGAACTTGTAAAAACTTGCAGGTACAAAAAAATGCATGAGAAAAATGAATATGCTGTCAGACACAACATAACTGTTTTCCAACAAGTTCATTCAAGTTGATAATTACAAAAATTGAATACAGAACTTTAAAAAGTTAGTTGTAAAAATGTCTATTTTAAGTGTCTATTTCTGAGAGCAGATTCAGAGAGAATAGTTCTGAACACTGATCATGACATTTTTTATACATTGCTAGTGCAAAATTCTGATAGACATCTTCTGCAAATGCCCAAGAAATATTATCACTAAAAACTCTTTATTATGAACACAGAAAGTTTGAAAACCTCGGAAATATGGATATAAAAGTTCTATTTTTTGGAAATCATCTGGGTATACTACACACACAACAGATACATACATTTCAGAAAATGTCTATATTCACATATACATGAATTTAAACATGTAACCATATATTAGAAAGAGTATATATATATATATATATATGTATAAAGTATATTTAAAGTTATGCTAAAAATTTTTTGACATAGGGAAAAATGCAAAAGAGGACAGTTATTTGTAGATACTCACAATATGCAAAAGTTTTAATACATCCACAAACCTGTAAAAGATAACAATAAAAGAAATGTTTTAAATGAGCCAGTGGGGAAATAAATGATCTTCCGAATTATAAACTGAATACCTACACCTTCTCTGAGCTCATGATCTCCTTGGCAATATGATGGACTTTACTCTTCATTCCAGTATCTTCATTCTGTGGAAAAGAGTGCATTAAAAAAGCATGAACTTATAAAAGGATAATGAAAATCAGCTTTGAGCCAGTCAGATATAAATTCAAGCTCTGACACTAAGAGGTTTCTGATTAGAACATATTCCATACTACATAACATCAAATAGAAACATGGAGAACTAGGTGCGGTTACTGAAACACAATACAGGAAGAGTACAGAGCATTCGGTGATCTCACATTGGACTGTTACCAGCACTGTACTGCTCGACTGACTGTGAGAAGCCTGAGCCTCGGTGGAGCACAAGCCAATGATTCAAAAACTGGAAAGTCACATTCTGCAGGAGAAATGACTCCTAGAGATGTCACATAAACATGAGTTCTTCTCAATACATAAACTAGGAATTCTTCCACCACCCTGAATGTCTTTTCAATATCTGCTGGTAATCATAGCCTCTCCTCAAAAAGATTCATTGCTCAACAAATACCCACATATATCACCCCCCCTCCCTTCAAGATTTAACAAATCCCAAACATTCTGCAGTATCTGGTTTAAAACATTTCTTGAAACAAATTGTTATATATTACGCTAAAGTTTCCCTCCCCCTCCAAGAGTAAATATTAATCATGCAGTGTATACTTATCCCTTCTATGTTTTCTTATTTCAGTACAGAAGAACTTAAATACAATATAAAAAAAATCCTAACCCTTCCATCAGAATATAAATATTGTTATGCAAAAAAAATATTCAAAGTAGAGTATGAAATCAACAACTTACACAAATAATCTTTAAGGAGCAATCAGTTATTCATTCAGAACGCATTAATATTGCTGTCTAGTTAGCCTAGGATATTTTGCCTTGCTCCTTTACCTTAGCTCCCAAACTCTAACCTTTTTTTCCCCCAAACTCTATCTTTAAAGGAACAATTAGATAGATGAATTTGACCTCCATCCTCATTATCATTCTGCTTTTCTAAGACAGGTTGTTGAATGACTATGACCAACAGACTGGGTAAGTTTTGCTCAACTGAGCAATATACAGCACAAGATACTCAGCTCCATTCACCGGCTCACATTCCTCAGGAAGCAGTCTATGCACAGTGTGATCTTTCAGATCATGTATCAGTCATGTGCTAATAACCATGACTATGTACACATACTAACATACACACGCATACGCACACACACAAGGATAATTGTTTTCCTATCATAATGGGTTTTATCATCTGTAGCTAGGAAGTTTAATTTTGTAAAATACAGGATATCTTTTTAAAATTGAAGGCCAGAAGAAATGCATTAAAAATGAAAAACAGGGGGGGCGCCTGGGTGGCTCAGTGGGTTAAAGCCTCTGCCTTCGGCTCAGGTCATGATCCCGGGGTCCTGGGTTCGAGCCCCACATCGGGCTCTCTGCTCAGTGGGAAGCCTGCCTCCTCCTCTCTCTCTCTCTCTGACTGCTTGTGATCTTTGTCTGTCAAATAAATAAATAAAATCTTAAAAAAAAAAAACAGGGGGTATAAGACTCTTGATCTCAGGGCTATGGGTTTGAGCCCTACACTGGGTGCAGAGATTACTTAAAAATAAAAATAAAAAAAACATTAAAAGAAAGAAAAAAGAAAAACCTAAATCACTGAAAGAACTAAAACCTTAGCTCAGCACTCTTATTTTCAAGTGATGGGAGGTCCCATACAGGTCAAGAGGTACTCTTAGCAGTAGTTTTAAAATAACCTAGTTACAGGGGCATCTGGGTGCCTCAGTTGGTTAAGCATCTGCCTTTGGTTTGGGTCCTGATCCCAGAGTCCTGGGACTGAGCTCCTGCTCAGCAGGGAGTCTGCTTCTCCCTCTCCTTCTGCTTCCCCCCAACCTGTGATCTCTAATAAACAAATCAAATCTTTAAAAAAAAAAGAAAGAAAGAAAAAAGGAAACCTAGGTACACTATAGATGGTGAAGCATTTGACTAGCAAAGCCACCTAAAATGTACACTACCTTTATACAAAAATTTTAAGTAGGTGTACTTTACTTTTGGCATCTCCCTTTTGTTTTCTTTTCTCTTTTTAAAGATTTATTTATTTATTAGTTGAGAGAGAGAGAGCACACAAAGGCAAGCAAGCTTGGGGTGCAGGGGTGGTACACAGAGGGAGAGGGAGAGAGAGAATCTCAACCAGACTGCGCTGGGTGGGGAGCCCAACTCAGGGCTCAATCTCACGGCCCTGAGATCATGACCTGAGCTGAAATCAGGAGTTCAGCTGATCGGACTAAGCCACCCAGGCGCCCCTGCCTTTCCTCCTTTTGTAACTCTGCGCTTATTAAGTCTCTACTCCAAATACCTTTTTTCTCCTCAGGACCTTCCTCTGCCAGGCTCTCTTTAGAGAGAGGTGTATGGTGACTCCGCAGTCAATGTTATTCCTGGGCAGGTATCATGCTTCTGTTCCAGCAGGGGACAAAAAAGACTTTAACTTGGGGCCTGACAATCCTTATCTGTCAAATGAAAGTGCTGAACTTACAATTTCAAAATCTTAAGAGTCAAACGTTCAGTATCTCAGGTGTGGCATGGCAAATCAGTGAGAAAAACAGTAGTGGCATTCAGAGGCAGCTCTGGAGCTGGGGACTATGAAGTATGTGTTTCCTTTCTAGAAGCTGAGACTATAAACTTTGAGGGTGGGGAATGGTGAGTACTGACATAAAGACAGACATGTAGATCAATGGGAAAAAACAGGGGCAAGCAAGCCCTTAAATTTGGTCACTGGATTCTTGACAAAGTTGTCAAGGCAACTCAATGGAAGAAAAGACTTTGGTTTGCCTGGGTGACTCAGTTGGTTAAGCGATTGCCTTTGGCTCAGGTTATGATCCTGGAGTCCCAGGATGGAGTCCCACACTGAGGTCTCTGCTCGGCAGGTAGTCTGCTTCTCCCTCTGACACTCCCCCTTCTCATGCTCTCTCTCATTTTCTCTCTCTCAAATAAATAAATAAAATCTTTAAAAATAAAAAGAAAGGATTTTGTTTTTCAACAAATGGTTGAAAATGAGTGGACTGGTTAGATATCCATAAGCAAAAAGATGAATTTATAAGCTAACTGACACCACATACAAAAATTTAAAAATGTATCCTGTACTTAAATGTAATAGCTAAAACTACAAAACTTCTAGAAGAAAACCTTTGTGACTCTGCATAGAGTAACAGTTTTTAGATATAACACCAAAGGCATGATCCATAAAAGAAAAAAACACCGATAAATTAAACTTCATAAAATTAAAACTTTTAGGCTCAAAAAGACACCATAAAGAAAATAAATTTCAGATAAACCCTGGTGGTTAAAAAAAAATAATTGCAAACATGGTTCTGTGTCCAGTATATGTAAGATGTGACTAGACATTTCATTAAATATATAAGAATAGCCAATAACTTCATGAAAAGATGTATAAGAATATAAGAATATAATCAGTCATCAGGGAAACGCACATTAAAACCACAGTAAGATTCCACTTCATACCCACAGAATGGGATTAAAAAAAATCAGAAAATAGTGGGGTGCCTGGCTGACTCAGTCAGAAGAGCATGCAACTCTTGATCTTGGGGTCAAGGATTTGAGATCATTAAATTACTATATATTGAAGTACTAGATTACTAAAAAAATAAATAAACTTAAAAAATATCAGAAAATAGCAGGTGTTGGTGAGGATATGGAGAAACTGGAAACTTTATCTACTGCTGGTGGAAATGGGAGCCTTTATTCATACATTGTGATTGGAAGTTTAAGCTGTCTTCTAATACACTAAAGGCAGAATTTGCATTTCTTATCCTCGTTATTCTGAGATCATTCCAAGAGGAAGGAGTGACCAACATCCTTACTCCATAATTTAAAACTCTATCTATCCAACATTTGATAGCAAGGTTAGTAGGAGAAAACAGCTCTACCCTCAGCTGATTCATTGCTCTACAGTTAAATGTGAAAACATTACTGATCATTAGAACTTCCAAGCTGCTCTTAAATTTCAGATTCCCATTGAACTGTCTTGGAAATTCTGATTCTGTAGGTCTGGGATGGGGCAGGAGAGTGGCTGCCGTAAGATGAATTTAAGGATAAATTTTTAAAAATCCCCAGCCTTCAAGAAGTGAATAAGGAAAGCATACCAAATAAACAACTATTCATATAACTATGAAATGTGCTTACATCTTGAAGTAGCAAAAGATTCTAACAGGCAGAGGTGTATAATTCAGGAAAAGATTCACAAAGAATAAAGCATCCATCCAATGCCCTTTTGTCACTCCTTAAACACATCATCAAGTCTCTGTAGACTAGATACTGTAGATATTTACTCATCAAAGTCAGAAACCTGCACTCTTTCTTCTCCACCTTCTATGATCACATCTGAGTCATCAAGTCCTGACAATTTATCCTTCTGAATGTTTCCTTAAAGCTTCATCGATCCTTACCTCTCCTGCCTCCTTATTTCTTGCCTACACTACTGCAGGAACCTAAGTAGTTTCCTTGGCTCTAGATTTAACTCTACTGCAATCCAGTCGCTACACTGCCACCAGAGTAATAGTTCTAAAACGCAAATACCTTAGTTCTCAGGTTGAAACCCATTAGCAACTCCCTATCACCTGTGGGCAAAAAAGACACAAGTTTCCGTTGCCATGCATTTAAGACACTCCACAGTATGTGTAGTTATCTTCATTAGTCCATTCCTGCTCCCCAACACTGTACAGTCTGTCCTCCAGCCATGCTGGAATCACCCTGCAATTCCAAGTCCGCTCTGCCCTTGCATATGCCTGTCCCTATATGCCCTTCCTTCTGCTTTGACTTTCCTCCTTATCATTTCTCCCCTCCTCAAAGGTTTCTGCCTATAACATTCCAACTTATCCTTTAAGACAGCACTCAAAGGTTTTCTCTATGAAAGGCTGCCTTGACATTCTCTCCCCACCACTGTCACAGGATAAGTTATTCTCTTATTCACGTAGTATTTATAGAACTTTACTCCAGGGGATTGTGTTTATTTGCTGACATGTTTAATTCCCTCTAGTTTAGG